TGGCGTGTCAGGATCCGAGCAAGGCCGCCACGTCACGTCACTGGCACGCAGGTTGGGGGGTGCGGGGGGGGGGGGTGTATCAGGGGGGAGTATCCACCCGTCTACGAATCAGGCAAGACCGGCACCGACAAAGAAATTTACTCAATGGATCGATTGCCTCGTCTTTCTGGTCCGAGCGTCGGAATGGAAGTTTTGGAAGTTTTGGAAGCCTCGGAAGCCTCGATGGAAGGCCAGATAATCTCCACTCGGGGAGGATCTGTGTGACTGTGTCGCGCATCGCCATCCGGACGAGAAAGACGAGGAAATAATACGCCGAACATGCCAAGTCCGATACGGCGCCCCCCCTCCCCCCCCTCTCTGCCTTGGCTTTCTGCCTTGGCATCCTCCCAGGGCAATCCAACCCCTTCTATTCTCTGATATCTGCACGGGCGAAATTTTTTTTTTTTTTTGAATTGGAGAGATTCCAAAAATCGGCGCCGGCCCCCCCACCTCGGGCAACAAAATTCTGAGATCATCCCATTTTTAAAATTTTTTTTTTCCTTTTCATCGTCTATTGTCCTCGAGCCGATTGGCCCAGTAATCTGCTGGGACCATTCAGCTGAATCAGGCAATTCAGCAAGCGAGGTGTTGCAGCATTTTCCTCTCTCTGTTATCTGCGTCATGGCCATTCTCCAATGCATACGGGCGAGCGTTCCTTCTCAGCTTCTATTTTTCTTTCCTTTTCTTTTTCCCCGGTCATAGAACGGTGTTTTCCTATTGATATACCTTCTTTATGTCCTCTTGTTTTTCCTTCTCGTCTCTCACATCATTTCTCACGAATACACATATCAATACTTAGCATGTCGGGAGCAATGGGTATAACAGATTGAGCGATTAATCAAGCACAAGCATATTTCTCCTGCAATCTCGCTCATGTTTCTTGCATCATGTGAATGCTTCCCCTCTATGGCGTATGAGTCACAGGTAGATTTCTTCCCTCTTTTTTCTTCTCTCTTCTTATTTTCTCTTCTTGTCGTATTTTCCCTCCCAACAGAGGATAGCCAACCCCTACTGTACTCCCCATGCATATCGTGCGTTTAGGTGGGGGAGAGAGGGGAGAGATTATGTGAGGGGTTGGAGTGTTGAGGAGGGGAGGGGGGGGGGGGTAGGGGTAGAGAAGAGAAGGATGAGGGGTGAGGGGTGGTGGTAATCGGCAATAAGTAAACTCCGTATGAACATATCAAATATATTCCGTCAATCATGACTCCGTATGTGGTGTAGAGTTCCCGTACATTTGTCAGACGTCTTGGGGGAAGAAGAAGAAGAAGGAAAAGAAGAGGAAGAAGTGGAGAGAGAAGGGGAAATAGAGAGTGGAGAAGAGAAGGAGGGTGGAATTTCAAATTACCGCCCATCACACACGCACACACACACACACCCAATCTAGAAGATTATTAATACCACTTAGACCTAATACCCCCCACCCTTGCCCGTACTTGTTCTGACTTGTTAGGAGACCTGCACTACTTGGGATTTGTCGCTTGGACCTGCATCTCCCCAAATGTACTTGTCTAGTTAGATGGATGGATAGATGGATAGATAGGGAGAGAGAGAGAGAGAGAGAGAGAGAGAATGGCGACATTAATATAAACCAGAGTGCCTCCGGTATCAGCTGTTATCGAAGAAAGGAGGGTGGAGAGGATTAGTCATTAGAGCCTAACCTCCCACGCACATGAACAATAGCAAGGTCTACCTTGAGCTTGGAGGATTCTGAGTGGCCTCAGTTTTTTCCTCGGAAAAAAACCATCATCAGTTCTTCTTCAATCTCGGGCTGTGCTATCCCAACAGGTGACGAGGCCCGGCTGGCCGCACGGGGAGCAGACCGTGGGAAGCTGGCTTCACCCTCAACGGACTTGTGTCTATATAGCTGACGGTACATGGGCCAGGATAGCAGGCAACGCAAAGTTTCATGGATGACGAGGATGGAGCATCATCCGTCACTGCAGAGAGAGGTCCCGAAGCATGTCGAGGAGTTCCGCGTTTCGGGGTGCGAGGATGTGTGTCGGGAGGGGACTTGGATAGGTCAAGCTGAGGAGACTGGTGTGAGAGGTGTGATGGGAATATATACATATATCATACATACATACATACATACACACATACATACACGTACACACACAAATATATATATATATATATATGTATATACATATATATATATGCATGTGGAGTAATGTACACTTTTTTTTATTATCACCATGGACAAGGAGACATATACAACATCATGATAGACTTTTGCATCGACAATGATGAATAGCACGGCACTCACGATACATTGACGGAGATTATATCCCTTCCCATCCCAGATACACGTCTGGAGCTGCCGGAGCTGTGACGGTGAGCACCGAACTGCACCGGATACCGCGCACCCGCTCTCCGTCCCTCTCCCAACCGGGACGGCCCTCTACCTCCTCCGATCGGGTGATTCGCAGCGCGGTCGCCTGAAGGCGCTGTACAGCCCCCCCGGCTCAGCGGCGAATCCGGACCTGGACCGCTGCGTCTGCCGTTCGGGCCTCTGCGACCCGCGTGCCGACGGCCCGGGGGACGCGCCCCTCCTGCCGGTGCTCCGCTGCGGTGACTCGAACCGAGGTCGTCTGATGGCGTCGTATACACCTTCGGGCCCGTACGAGAGGCTAGACCTCGAGCGCTGAGACACGGGCTGATGTCCGTCCTCGGGAGTCGGGCCTGGCCGGGATCGGGGCCGGGACCGGGGCCGGTCCGCAATGGCCTGCCCGGCAGGCCACTCCTCCACCCGCCGGCGCCCCTGGCTCTTCTGCCGGAGCGCCTCGTTGAACTCCTGTCTGTGCTTCTCGTTGCATCGGCGGCAACGCTCGTTCGTCACGTACCGCGTCCGCTCCGGACGGGTCCGGCATGGGGTGCTGCATTCGACCTTGTCGGCCGTCATGGGCTCGCGCGCCTGGCAGTCGAGGCATACCCTCACCACGTTTATCAAGAGACACATCTTGACGGGCCCTTTCCGTCCAGCTTCCCCCCCCGGCTTCGAGACCTGAGGGGCGGCGGGGGTAGATAAGTCAGTGAGGATGAGCGCTAGGCCTCTTTGGTCTCGGGAGAGGAAGCTATCTGGCCGGAACGTTGTTGGTATCTCGCGAATCCCTCCTGGGGTCCAACGGCTCTGCGTCGTGGCTCTGTCTTAGCATTCTACGGGTCTCCGTGGCTGAGGATGCGTTCTCCGATGCTATCTGTGATGCAGTCCACCATGGTTGTGTCTGTGTCTGCCGACTTTGAATGGGAGATGATGTGCCTTTGCGTGGGGAGGAGACGCCGTGTGACCGTCTCACATGACGGGGGACGGGGGTGGGCAAACAAACGGAGGAGAAGAAAGTTTGTCTGATGGACATGGTGATGATGACGTCTCCCCCCCCCCCCGGTGCCATCTCTAGAGATGAGGCCCTGCTGAATCTCGGCAGGGTTTCTTCTATGGATTGCACTCTCCGTCACACTACCATCTCACGGTCTCTACGTAGCTTACACGCTTGTGACTTCACTTCACGGGCTATTCTTCAAAGGTTTGTGCCTCTGAATTCTAGCATCATCTTCAAGCTTCTGCTCTGCTTCCAGAGACACGCGGAGAGGAGAGGAGGGGAGAGGAGAGGAGACATCGGTGACAAAAGGCATCACACTCGCGATGGCCCAACGAGAGGCTTCATAAAGTTAAGTGATTCGAACGAGACTGAAGAGGACCAGCTGTCAATCATGTACGCCCTGTTGGGAAACGAAAGAGACCATCCGAGATGATATCCACACAATACAGACATACGCACTGCGGTGCCCCCGAGAGGGCACCTTCGATGGGCACTTCGCCAACATGCTCTACATCGCGCCCCGTCTTCCAGGGAATCTCATGGTATTTCTCAGCACCGTCTTGTAGCCTTCCGTCGAGCTGCAACCCCGTCGCTTGTTTCGCTCATCTCCTTCGACGAATGGCACACCACAATAGTCATCTCCATGAAGCCTTGCTACCCTTTACCCCCCTTCCCCTTCTCCCATCTTTTCAAGACGGCGCGAGACGGATGGGTACTTCGCCATATTGGCTGCCCGAGCAGTCTGAACCGTCCCTGTCACTCCCGGAGCACTCCTCGCCCTCGTCGTCACTTCCGGAGCATTCCTCGCCGCCCTGGCACTCCGGACAGCCCGAGCACTGCGAGCAGTGTTCGCTGTCCCCGGACCACGAACCGTCACGCCCCTGGCCCTCCCCTCCTCGCCTTCGATCGATCCGCGCAGACACTGGAAGCCCCTACCTCCCCCGGCCGCTAGGCTCGTTACCGACGGTCTCCCGATCGGAGGCTGCGCCCGACGGCGCAGGGGGGTCGAACCTCTTCGAATCCAGGAACCGCCGGCCCTGGGCAGGTTGTATCGCAGGCGGCCCGTGTAGCCCGTCGTACCAGGCGGACCTCGTGGAGCGCTGCTCCCAGTCCTGGACGTCGCGCGGCCGCGACCCCTGCTGCTCCGCCGGAGAGGGCGGCTGCTCACAGGCCGGGTAGTCCACAAACGCGGTTCTTCGCTGCCGGTCGTGCTCCCGGTTGCGCACCCCGTCTCGGGTCTCCCGCGCGGCCCTGGCCTGGCATCGAGCGCACCGGACGCTGGGAACGTACCGGACTTGCTCCCGAGGGTAGGTGCACCGACGCGGGCACGGGATCTCCTGCACGCTGCTGCTCTCATGCTGATCGCAGTCCGGGCACAAGAGCACGGTGCCTATCGATCGACACATGTCGACGGTGGTATCTGACGAGTGTGTCGAGGGAGATTCTTCATGTGTATGCCGAGTCCCAGATGCCCAAGACTTGAGAGGAAATGTGCTCGGTGTCCAGATACATTCTCACGGACATGGCGTCGTATCTATACCCCACGGGTCAGAAAGTGAATGTTTGCCTCTGTCACACAATACTACCGTCAGCGATACGGCCGTGAACCCGAGTGTCTACTGGCTCTGGATGAGGGAGCTTTGTCGGTCCTGCAGTACGCGTAACACGGTCCCCCTTGTCAGCTGCGGTGCGCACCACACTGAGGGGGAGCGGAAAGGGCATTCGGTGACCGGACACATCACCGTCACGGTCTCGGAGCATAGCATCGAAAGCTGAGGCAAAGCTATATAGTCTTGTCTTGACGGCCTTCGGGAAAGAGCGAGACAGGCGGATACCTCCCAGCCCTTGGAGCTCGAGGCGCATCGAGACAGGAGGAAATTACACATTCACACACACACACACACAAAAGGCACGACGGGACGTCATACAAGTCGCGGTGATGATAGCCTACTCCGAGATTGAATAATTACAGATTGTGTGCCGGTACTGTGCTACCTGGTGAGCTGCCCCGGAGGCAGGCAGTCGTGCCCTCCCTCCCCTTCTCTCTCTCGGCAACTCCCGCAGGAACTCCCCATGCCGACCATCTTCTACCCATGCTGGCGTCGCTTTCGCTCCAGCTCCGCCATCTGCTCTTTGTAGATCCGGATTTGCTCGTCAAGGCACTTGCGGCATCGCTGGCCCTGCTCGTACACGACCAGGGGCTGGATTTCGTTGCACGGAGGCGAGCACTGGTGCTCTACAAATTTGACCTGCTCGTGCACGCCGCAGTCCATGCAGGTCTGCATGGTGCGCACTGAGTGGCACATCTTGTTGAGAGGCGTGAATGCTCTGCTATCCGATTGGATGTCCGAAGAGGGTGAAGAGAGGGTTTTGGTATGCACGTGCTGCATGTAGGTGTTCTTCTGAGCTGGAGTCTGCCTATGAAGAAGATGCTGAGGTGTGCAGACCGTCGATGTCTTGATATCGAGATATCTCTGAGGATGTGACGAGCTCTATAAATACTCTGCCCACATTGCGGTGAATGGTGACCCATTTCATAGCACTGTCACGTATTTGATCGACGACGCGTGGCTTGCCAGCTGTCGAGACACGGGAGAGCTGCCTTGGTATCTAACCCAGTTACACGGGAGCAAACATGATCTCCGACATAGGACTGCATCACGGACACGCAAGCTATCACATTCACACTCACCTTTTGGCTCTCGACGGAAGCCGCTGCGGTATGGACTTTGTCTCGCAACACTGTACAGATCCAGACACCTTCTATCCAGATTCTCTCTGTCTGTCTGTCCTGTCCGTCTGCCTCCCTACTCCCCCGTACATCGTGTCCCTACTGAGTGAGGCGCCACGCTGTACCGTTGACACTTGATAGCAGAGGGTCAAGGTACGGAAACAGCGGTGCTTCTATGGGTTCAGCCTGATACCTAAGTCGGGCATCTATATCGACGGCTGTAACCATCAGCCCGTGAATCGTCGCGGAATGGAAGAGTCCAAGGAACCCAATCTCCTTGTTCTGGCACATTCATCATATCTTCTCCCCGGTGTTCACTAAGCGCAAAATCACTGATAGTCAACCCCCCCCCGAACTGACAGTATCCGGGAGGATTCACTTCTTATACTCTTCAGTCATCTTTTCGAACCACGCCGTCAGCCTAAGCATGTCGGAGGAATCCCTGTACCTCTGGCAGTCGATAGACCCACGATCCGCTCGATGACAGATACGCCGGCACCATCTGAGTGTTCCCTCCAACACGGAGAGAAAGTGGTAGCTTACGGTGGGCAGTGAACCGCACAGGAGGGCAGGAAGACTCTCGGTATGTCTGCGTGCACATGTTGATGGACGGTACATACAAGAGGCGATGTATTTTGGAGATTCACCGCCAGTGTTCTGAACGGGACTCTCAGAGGCTTCTCATGATAGAAGACATAGAAGACAGAGAGGGAGATGGATGGTATGGAGAAGAGATGTGAGTGACGAGAAGAAGGGGGTGGTTAGTTAAGGGCTACTTGCCGTTGTTTGGAGTCCAAGATATGGAGTCCGAATAAAGAACCAAGGGAATACTTGTGTGAACTGGGTATGATATCACGCTATAACGACGAAGTAGGTCCTTCTTTTGTTCTGAATCCAGCACACCCACACCCAGTTTAGTATTGGTTCGCTTGTTTGCTTCCCCTTCCCCGTACCGTGACCCCTTCATTCGCTCTGACCGCAACCCGGAGCTACGCCCCTCAAGCTAAAATCACCCCTGTCTACTCACTCTTTCCTCTCCATTCCATTTCGTAGAAGAAGAGACAGCCATCCTTCCCGTTTCGGTGAGAACGGGACTGGGGGCAAGGTAGAGAGGATCGGAGGCAGACCAACGGATCACTTCCGCTTGGACTTGGCGGCTTCGGCCAACCGACGACGAGATTCCCGTTCATGCTGGTACTTGCATTCGACGCAGAGCTTCTCCTCTACGACGTTGTCAATGGTGACGGTCTGGGACTTGTGGTGGTCCCGTCCGCAAGGGGTGAGCTGATTGCCCAGGACGATGTCGGCCTTGCACCTGGGGCAGTGGGTTGTGTCGCGATGGCTGATACACATGGTGAATTGTTTGTCTCCTGTTTCTGCAGCTAGTGGTTAGCCTGTCGATTGTTTCCAAGAGTGAGCGTGGTGTATGAGCATGTACTCTGATAGAGGCTGTATCGGTTGTCGACTCAAGTCACATACGAGCGATATTCAATTCGTCCTTATTGAAGCTGTTGGATAGGGCTAGCTCTGTATGAAGCCGAATGGATAATATATGAGGGACTGGTAACGGCAATGACTCTATATTTATACCCATTCGGATACTGTGAGCGGAAGCATATGCAGTTGGGCGTGATGAGAGAGGAAGCATGATCTTCTTGGCTGTCCCTCACCAAATCACTGAACGTATCCCCATTTCGCATCAGAGTCTTCGAACCCAAGTACGACCATTACACACGTACATCCTACTCTAGAATTCTGGCGCCTTCTTTCCTTGTTAGCTGAGCGAAAACGACACCTTTGGGCTACCGTTTGCCTGCCTCCTCCCTCTCTCTCCAAACGACCGTCGCTGTAGCATCACTCGGCGACGGGGATCAAGGAGTTGGTCAGACCAGCGTCACGGAACCCGGCGGGGTGTGAGAGTGAGGGTAAAAGATCTTGATTCTCCATCTCGTGTGCTTCGTAGAAGTGTACAGACGTATGCGACTCCTTCCCATAGTTCCTTTCATGAGGAGACGTGTCAGGGACGTCCTTCCGCGACAGTTGCGGCCTTTCCTCCCCCCCTCCCATTTCCAAAGAATCAACCCCATCCATCCCATTCTACCTGAGTGCTTCATCTCGTCCCCTATTTTGCTTTCATAGAAAGGGTACACCATCCCACGAAGGATGATACTTTAACGCCCGATATCGGTTCTCCCGCGACGCTCTGCCTCCTGCTGACGACGTTCCCGATCCCGCTGCCATCGCGAGGGATTCCCGCATCTCCCGCAGTACATAGGCGAGTCGAATCCGTCGAGGGTCATAGGGTGCTGTTCACCCATGGTCTGTCCCTGCCCGCAGTTGATGAACCGGCTGTCAATGACCCACGTGGCGTTGCACTTCGGGCAGCGGGCATGCTCGCGAATCTTTGTGCACATGATGCTTCGTTCGTGATCGGTAGAGAAACCACCGTCTGAATGTCTCTTTCCTTTCTTAGCTTCAATCTTATGTTTTGCCGGCCCGTGTTGTTTCTCCCTGAGCATATATAGGTAAAGGTGATGTGACGTTGAAATAGAACGTTTGACAATGACGATGAAGAGAGCGGAGGACTCACTACAGGAGAATCATTGGCACATGGGGATCTACACCCCTTCTTATATTCCAAGTGGTGTACGATGATAGAAAGGAAGAGAATGGCTGTGCGCTACTGTGCTCAGACACTGGAGAGCTGTCTTCTTCTCCTTCTGTTGCGTACATTCACTTCTTCATTTCTCACTTTCATAGGAAGCCCTCCCGTCTTCTCTGTCATAGTGAACTTCAAAAGTTCTGTGCTGTGCAACATTACACCTGAGGTAGTATATTGGTTTCACCGGCCAGATACCGGTAGCAAATGGCACGGAAGAGACAGAGGGCCCATCACTCTCCCACGTAGAGTACACGTGGTGAAGGATGATGATACCGGTGACTATATATATAGTGACTATGCCACGCCATGCATCAATGTCGGAATCCCTACTCCGCCGCCTCACCATCTCGCTACACCACCAAGGCTTCTTCTTCTTCTTCTTCAATGATATCCTCCTTCTTTGACTGTGTAACCTGTCTGATTCCCGCCAAAAGCTGTGGTCTGGTCTTGTGGATTTACTTGGATCCCTTGGCACGCTTGGGGCTGCAGTCCTGTGTTTCCCATAGCCGCTCCTCGCCTCCGTCTTCCTTGGGCAGAATTCAGGTGGCCTGTATCGTCCATACGTCGTCTTCATCTGCCTCGCCCTGTTTCTCTCTCTCTCTCTCTCCTTCACCTCATGAATTGCGAGCTGATAATAGTGCGGTGATAACAGATTTCGCAGAGGTAGTATTGTCTCTTGTGGGTGCACATTGTGTAATCTGATGCTGTTCCTGGTATTGAGCCCGATGTATATATATAGTAGGAAGAAGATGAAGACGAAATGTGGAACAGGTTCTTTAACAACGACAGACTCTCCCTTTCATATGTAGAGAGATAAAAGTGAAATTTCCTTTCGAAGATACAAGAGGAACGAATGAGAGCTGGGCCTTATGCTGTTGACAGATTGAGTGTAGGCGGATTCTGAGACGTGGTCGTTGGACTCAGATGGGCCATCTCTAATGAGCGAGAGATCACATGACTTCTCGCATCTCTAACTGTCCCTGCCTGTTCATTCGATCAGTAACACAGTGAGAATACTCTGATGCTCAATCCTACTGATTGTCCGTGTTGGCGACAAGATACAGTCGCCTGTGTATCGTTTCACACGCCAACAACGTCACCATAAGCGAGGAGGCAACTCGACTCACGAAAGGAGGCAACAGGTGAAGCACAATAGGAAAAAGAACCTTAGCAGTTTAGTAGTATTGTGACGGAAGTCAGAATATAGAAAGTGATAGTATGCTCAATACTGCTCATGCCACGCAATGTGTATGTTTGAAGGTCTGTATGCTGTACCCCCTCCCCTCCCCCCCTTCTTCCCCGTATCAAGCCAACGAGTATTCCGTACAACGCCAAATATCAAGCGCCGAAGCCCAATGTCCAATTGCCAATGCCTTGTCTTATGACTAACTCGTTCAAATTTAACACGTCCAGGCGGAAGTTCTGATGCCCAAAGTCCATGCCCTCTACTGCTTGGGCTTCTTGAGGAAGTTCGGAAGTAAGCTGTTCACAACGTCCTTCCTGGCTGCCCTCCTCTCCTCCTGGGTGTCATGACATCCATCGCACATCTTCTTGCCCTTATTCTCCACCGTCTTTGTTATTGTCTGGCCATTTTGGGGGTGATCGCTTCCACACTGGACAAACGTGGTATCAATGACAAAATGCGTCTTGCACTTTGTACAGGGAGTGTAATGGCGTAACTGGTGGCACATGCCAGGCTGCCTCTTGGAAGACCTAGAATAGCTACAAGGGAGGCTAAGCAGGAGGGTGGGAGATTGTCGATGGTCGGGGTGTGCAATGCCCAGTATATCAGAAGGTGGCGATGATGAGCAGAAAATTGGAGCAAGAGACCAAGACTTTGAAGGCCCATGCCCCTTTTATATTTACACGGGTTCCCCCAAGATCTCGTCACGATGGCCCAAGATAGAGGCTCGTGAAAGGAATCAGTATGCGGACGGTCACAAAGCACTGCCGGCGGATAGGATGTGTGTCTCTAACCGAGAGGAGGGTCGTTTGCGTATCCTCAATCAATCAACGAAGTGATGCCTCAACATTGATATAGGGGCGTACATATCATAGGGAACTGCTTGAGACCCGATCCAAGCAAGGAATTCGGAGAGATCAGATACGTTGATATTGATATCTACATAATCAACTTGTCCAACACTGAAAGTAAGTTATCCATAGCAACAAACCATATTCGTATCTGCTAGGCCCATTATCAAGAGGGTGTCTCATACCACATAGACATTGAAACCAGCAATGGAAACAAAAATTGACAAGTGTGAAAAACAGACGTAGGTTCGAGGTGTGGAGTTGCGTGTTGAGCGCATTACCGGGTAAAGAAAAGAAGCTGGAAAGAAGAAGCTGGAAAAAAAGCCAAGAAAAAAAAAGATACAAAAGAAAGAAACTCCCCCGGACAGGATTGAACTGTCGATCTTCCGATTGCGTATCTTGGATAACAGTCGGACGCCTTAGCCACTGGGCCACGGGGGATGTTGCTCTTGAAGCGATGCTGACCAGGAGCGACAATGCGTAGATCTGCTTTCTCAACAATTGGGAACAGAGTTTCTGAGTTGTGTGCATCTCTTATCGATAATGTGGCGGCAAGCTGGCCAATGTGGCGGGGAAGGAGCGGGGCTCTCCGGTTGCCTCTCTCGCTCTCTCTCTCTCTTCTCTCTCCTTCTCTATTTCTCTCCTCCAACTGCAAGCTCCATTCACCAGGGGAGCGAAGCGACAACATCCAATCCTGATTCCTATATCACCTGCAGGCAGTCGGCAGCAGGAGTAAAGATGTCGACATCGGTGGAGAAATCCGCTCTAGGCGGATGGCGTACGTCTTTTTCTCTGTCTCTTGCCCTGTTTGCTCCCCCCTTGATACCCACACACACCCACACACAGAGAGAGAGAGAGAGAGAAAGGCTGACGTAATGGCATAGTGCACGAGAACAATGTCGAGCTGGTTGACCCGAAGCGCGACGCACTATACAATTACGACGCCGAAGCGCTCAAGAAGATCTTGACGGACAAGCCGTGGGCTCGGGATGTCAATTACTTCAAGCACGTGCGGATCAGCGCCACGGCGCTCATCAAGATGACGATGCACGCGCGATCTGGCGGATCTCTGGAGATCATGGGACTGATGCAAGGCTATGTGGACCACGAGACATTTGTGGTCACGGACGCGTTCCGCCTGCCCGTCGAGGGCACAGAGACGCGCGTCAATGCGCAGAACGAGGCCAACGAATACATCATCGAGTACCTGGACCTGTGCCGGTCGCAGGGCCGCCAGGAGAACGTGGTGGGCTGGTACCATAGCCACCCGGGGTACGGGTGCTGGCTGAGTGGCACCGACGTCGATACCGAGGCCATGCAGCAGCAATTCCAGGACCCGTTCCTCGCCGTCGTCATCGACCCGGACCGCACTATCAGCGGCGGCAAGGTCGATATTGGCGGTTTCCGGACCTACCCCAACACCTACCGGCCCGAAGGTGGATCGACGACGTCGGATGGCTTCCAGACCGTCCCGTTAGCCAAGGCCGCCGAATTTGGCGCCCACGCGAACCGATACTACAGCCTGCAGGTATCACACTTCAAGAGCACGCTCGACGCGCACCTCCTCGAGCAGCTCTGGCACAAGTACTGGGTCCAGACGCTCAGCCAGAACCCCCTCCTGACCAACCGGGACTATGGGACAAAGCAGATGCTCGACCTGAGCTCCAAGATACGCGAGGCCACCAACCTCATCACCCGCGGGCGCGTCCATTCTCAGAACGACTTTACCGGCGCCGGCGCCGGCGCCGGTCCTGCCAGTCACACCTCCAAGGCTACCGACAAGGCCGTGGCCAAGCTGTCGCAGGATACGAACCAGATTGCTGCAAAGGAGAGGACGGGGCTGATTGCGACTGAGGTCAAAGCCAAGCTGTTCAACGACTTGGTCACCAAGGAGGAGTGAGGCTAGGGTTAGGACCTTCCCCCTCCCCCCGCGGTCCTCATCCACCCTTCTCGCGACAACTTCTTGGTCCGGTTCGTTTGCTTTATGTTGGCGCAGATATATACAGTATGGCATCATAGCCGGCGTTTGGGTGTCTTTTAGTCTAGGTCTTGACGGCAATGAGAATAAACAAGATACATTGAGGTTGGTTCCATTACCCGAGAATCGGTGTCTTGACTAGAAGTTCCGGTTCAATCAGAACCATTCCTGATCACAACTTTGCCGTAGAAGCCTTTGTGTTCTCGGGTGCCAGCATCTTGACCACCCAAGCCGTCTTGGCCGCGAGACAGCGCCTCGAGACGGCAGCATCAGGGACCAAGACGTCAAAGCAATGGTAACCGCCCGGCCAGACGTGCAGCTCAGTAGGCACGCCAGCAGCCCACAGTCTACCGGCATACTCGACATTCTCGTCGCGGAAGCCGTCGGCCTGGCCGACGGACACGAAGGCAGGTGGCAGGCAACTCAAGTCCTCCACCCTCGCAGCAATATTGGCGGCCTGTCCCACCTTGTGCGCATCGCTTCCCTCTCCGTCATGACCAGCATCACCCAGGATCGCCTTCCAGGCCGTGACGTTGGACACGCGAGACCAGGTCCCCCCTCCGCTGCGAGCACACTGCTCCCAGGAGGGGGTGCGGGACCGATCATCCAGCATTCCGCAGTCGATCAGCTGCGCGCACACGCGCGGGGACTCCTCATCCCCGCCGTCCCTCGCCCTGAGAGCCATGACGGCGGCCAGGTTGCCCCCGGCCGACTGGCCTGCCACCATGATCCGATGGCGGTCCAGGCCCAGCTCGTCTGCGTGGCGGGCGAGCCAGACCAGGCCGGCCCAGCAGTCGTCTACGGCTGCGGGGAAGGGGTCTTCGGGCGCGAGGCGGTACTCGACCGTCACGCAGACGGCCGACGAGGCGAGAGCCCAGAGGAGGGCGTCCTGGCGGAGAAAGGTGAAGCGGTTGCCGCAGACGATGCCGCCGCTGTGCATGTAATAGATGACCGAGGCCGGTGTAGGTGCTAGGCTGGGGCGGAAGATGGACAGGGTGACGGTGTCGGTCCCCTGGAGGGAGGGGACGGTGAGCTGCTCGTGGGTGAAGTGGTTGGAGATTGGTGGCTGGAGGGTCATCTCGAGCGTGGCGACGGAGTCTTGGGCCTTGCGGAGAGACGGGATGGAGTCGAACGTTACGTCGCGGTTGGGAAGGGTGGCGAGGAGGGACGTTAGCTGGTTGTCGTAGGGGGACATGACTGCTATGGTTCGGTCTTTCTTCTCCTTCTTCCTTTTTTTCTTCTTCTTCTTCCTTTTTCTTCTTCTTCTTTTCTACTTTGTATTTGAATCTTTGGATGTGCGGCATCACGTTGGGGAGGAGTTGGAAAATCTCATGATATTGAACTGCAGTATGCGTGAGTCGGAGAATGATAGCCGTACAGCCGCGGTTTGCGGTTGGACATGCCGATTCTGCGTGATGCTATTTACCCTAGATTATAGTCACAGAGAAAATAAGAGGAGAGTAGGAAAAAAACCTATCCCTTTGATGGGACACCCGTGATGCATCGTGATGCTAGATAGGATGGAGCTCAATATGCTGTCCTCCCGTTCTTCTGCCCTCCGGTTGTATGACGACAAGGACAGAGCTGTCTTCGGCAAAAGAGCGACTATGTTTAGTCGGTTTACGTAGTTGTGTCCATCAAATGACGTAATTAGGCTCTCGTCGAGAGGTAGGTGCTATTGGTATCGGTATTGCTGGTACCGGAGAAGAGTAAATTACGTATGCGTTGCCTTCTTGAATTTGTTTTCTTCGATTTTTTTTTTAGATATCGATTTTTACTATTATCTTTACTCTGTATACTGGTACTATGAGTTTTCCTCCGTACGGTGCCAGTGTATCGCCAACACAGACACACACACACACGATCGTCGATGTATGAAGATCGTGGCTGGTGGGTGCACATGCTACTAGTAATACTGACAAATACTGCTTCTTAGTTATAATACATATAATACTCATAGTGATAGTCCTGATGGATGGTTTGGGTTTAACGGTGTCACCGAAAAAAAGGGACAAAGGGAGGGGGGGCTCCTTGACGGGAAGGGGTGGTAAAAAGAAAAGAATGAGAAAGAATTAAATACAGGACTTTGACAGTGTTTTAAAATGTAAGATGTAATGTATTAATAGGTATCATGGCCGGGACCAGGGAGTCTGAAGTGGGATTAACAGTCAAAGGCCAAGGTCGTTCTTGGCGATCACTAACCACTGGTGGTGAAGTGAATTCCCATCTGACTGGCCCCTTGCACCGGCTCAATGGCTACTGTTCAGTTTCTCCCTAGTTTTGTGGTAGTATCATGGTATTGAATCGGTTGGTAGAGAGGAGTAGGTGAGAGGAATTCGCCTTTATCGCCCGTCATGGTCTTTACATATTATATAGTATTAATAGTAATACTACATATATATTTTGCCGACACGAGGTATACTGCGCGTTACGGATATTCGATCAGCCATAAGATGGGTCTTTATACCCAGGTGCTCGTGAAAGTAGGTGTGATGCCATGTTGTAGTAACACGAAACCTATCCAGTCTTTGTTATGCTTCCCCCCCCCCCCCCCCCCCCCCCCCCCCCC